TTCTAATAAAATTAACAAAAGTTATTATATATGGCTATATATTATATATATATGGCTTTTTAATGAAGTATGGGACCTGCTTTCATAATACAGGCATAACGATTACGAACAGAATGATAAAAGTCGGGTGTTATAGAAAAGTCTACCTTTATAAAAACTCAGGGAAATATCTCAAAATTTCAATAAGAGTTCATTAAATTCCATACAGCTTGAACCATATGTTATTAAACTTATTATATATAATATGTATTATTTAATATGTCTTTGTGCTATTAATAGAATTTTTTTTATTTGTTAGTTAGTTAGAAAACTTTTTCATATCAAAATGAAACATTTTGAAGACATTTTTTCAAAGAGTTATCAATAGAAAACACACCATGTTTTAACAACCACTTTGCATTAATGAAGAATCCAATGTCTTTAATGTCTGTACTAGAAATCTCGGACAGACATTTCATAAAGGGCGACCACAGATGCGTGGTTTTTAGCGAATACCGGTCACTGACCGAGTAGATGGATAATACTTTCTTTTTCCTCTTCTGGGTATTAAATACGCATACTTCTTTAGAACCATGGAAAAAGTAAAAATAAATTAATTGCTAATGTTTCTAAGGAAAAAATCTATGGACTATAGAGCAGTTATGTAAGCTGTCACCTATTCAACTAAGAATTCTTATAAATACTAGAAGGAATTGAGATAGATACCGAGTACAATTTTAAGACTGTATATGATTCACATTTGTTATTCACAGTAGACTGAGATAAGAAGATAAGTTATGAATAGAATATAACGAAAATAAATATTATTAACAAAGATATCAACAGCTCATATTGGGCATGAAACAATTTTCGACTCAGCAAAAGTTCTACTAGTTAGGAAAAGTGTAAGATAATTATTCTATAGTTATCTTTAACTATTCTAACTATTCTATAGTTATCTTTAATTATGACTGTAATTGATATAAAAAAAAATGATGATGAAAAAAAAAATCTTATACGCTGAATGTAGTATAATGACAATAATACGATTCAATATTTAAAAATGATACGAAGTTCCTGCAATACATGGATTCTTACACATTTACTATAAAGTAAATATATAGATTGAGATTAAGCATGTAAATACTAGAACCAAAAACTCTATCGTAATTATATATTGAATTACTTACAAACTTGTCATTATAACTTCGCATACCACCCTTGTTGTAACATTAATTTTCATTAATATTGTTAAGAAGATCTCATGATTGAACCTATTTATTTGTGCTGTACCAGCAAAGGCATTGAAGTGGTTTTGTCTGTAGTTGTAGATAGAGTCCACAGAGTTACCGATATATGCCATTTCCTCTTAATCATGGCAACTCCTACATTCTTTACTCATTCTTCACTGAATCAAAGTTTATATGCAGTTTTTCGCCTCATTACTGTCCATTTTAGAGAATTTCCAGTAATCATATTAACATTCTTGTCTCTTTAATATCTCTATACGATACGACATTTTATTGCAATTCTCGATTTGACTTCCAGATTCAGTTAGTGATTTCGAAGGTCGAATGACATTGATTTGCATAAATGAGATTGTGTTTAAATTGAAAATATCTCAGATATCTCTATATATATCTTACATATCTTATAGGTTTTGATTTCTCTCTCCAAATATATACATTAAAATTGATGTGTTTCTTAAATAACTCTATTTTTGGCAATTCATTTGTAAATGCGTCATTAGTCAGTATTATTTGACTGGTTATATTAAGCCATAATTAAGTTTATTATTTTTTAAATCTATTTCCCTGCGTCACAAATAGAGATAAAAAATAATGTTTCGGAGTGTGGAGTGTGGAGAGTACAAAAAGCTCAGGGACTTTTAATTATCTTTTCGTAAATATTTCTTCAAGCATGTATATTTAACATGGATAATATTTTAAAATCAATTACAATCCGTTTTTGTTCTCCTGACCCTTCATAACGAGTTCTAATTAAATTGTGTCTATCTTATTCTCAACCAACCCAATAACTCTCAAATATTTTTCTTAAGTTAAATTGTTTTATTCGGTTATTACCGGTAAATAGGTTTAGTTAATTAAAAGTAAACCATGTTTCAAGGGAAATATTAAGAGAGATAAATGGTTAGTCATATTAATCAAATTAGAGACAGAAATGGACATAGGAAGAAAACTTTAATTAAGCTGAAGCAGAGATATTGTAAATTTACAATATCAATGCCCAATTTTATTATCAAATCTTCTTACAAATACATTTATACACGTATAAAAATAGGCCAAAATATATGGATCTTGTTCTAGTATAATAGAGTAATAGTATAATACAATAATAATACATATATTATTAGTATTATTATTATATATTGTTATTGTAATATACTATAAGTATAATAGTATAATAGGATCTTTTAGAAAAATCTATTTCATTAAAAGGTTACAAAGTTTTTGCAAACAATTTCTAATAAATTATAAATCAATCAATTAAAGAAACAAATATGTTTAAATGTAATAATCTTTAATTTGAAACCATTTGGGAGATAATTATAAAGTAAATTATTTAAATATATTAAAATTTACATGACTATAAATTTTCGTAGTCCATTTTTAAAAATTACTGTAACACTCTGCATATTCCCTAAAAAATCTTAACGTACCCCTCCGATCTCTTTACACATATGTACAGTTCATTGGAATAAAACACTCTCAGAGCTTAATTATATTCTATATAATAATGTAGCAAGGGCTAGGTTATTCTTGTTATACTCTTTATACTAGTACTGCAGAGTATTTGGGCATCAAACTGATCTTGCAAAATTTAACCACTTTAATAGAATACTTTATCTACTTCGAAAGGCTCATGATAATCTATGATATGCGAGCCACAAGAACAGCTATTCCGCATTATATTTCATTTCATTTTGTTTTATTTTATAAAAATACTTTCGACCACCAAATGTTGTTCGAATATATTCGATCGTCTTGTATTAATGCCAAAGTACAAGGATAATCTAATATTAAAATTCTAGAAGCTACAAATAGTTTTAATATTTACTAAAACTATGTAAAAGCCCAGTAGGAAATGGATCGATCTGTCATCGAAGACGTCAAAGACCGTCTCGAAGACATTGTCTTCGAAGACCACTTTTCCAACTGGGAACCATACTTAAAACAAAAGTTTGCTCAAGTTCACCAGCTTATTCTAGTTGGTCTGTCATAAAAATGTCAATGCAAATATAGATTAGATTCAAATAGACCAATATGTGAGCATTCAAGGTGTTCATATGAAATTAAGAACAGTATTACCCAGCCTCTACACTGGCTGGACTTTGGCAAAGTTAGAACAAGTAATTCTGGTAAAGTCTAAACAGTGTAAACGTCCAGTTAGTACAGTTTTAAGAAATTTTTCAGCACAATCTTTAGCTCGACGTTGAGATGTTGCATAAACTTAAAAGAAGGGGTGTCACATTGTGTATGGTATAGCAAACAAAGCGTTACCAAGTCGTTTTTAGAGTTTATTGTAAAATATTAACAAGATTGGGTCACGTATACTAAATTGTTGTATATAAATAGTTTTATCAGTAAAAGATAAAACTCTATAAATGATGCCAAAGCAGAATCGATTACAAGATAGGTAAGTTATTTATATGTTTGATGATATTAAAACCCATAAGAAGTTATAACTAACTGATTAAAAGTTGATTTGAATGCCAATTCCCCATAATTATTGTAGTTCAATTAAGACATACAAGTACTATGTTTTGTTATGACAATAGTCATATACAGATACTTCTTAAGTGACCCTACTTCCTATCATTCTGCAATACTGATACTGTACTGTCAGTTTATCACTCGGTTTATCACTCGATTTATCACTCGGCTTATCACTATTTTCACTTGCTCTCGACCTGCTAGCAACCGCAAAAAAGTGCTGCACAAAGCACTTGCTTTACATAGTACAGCAAATATGAGACCCTGGAAAGGTACAATAAAGTTTTAATTGTTTGAGCTGAAAAATTTCATAATATAGACAGTATTGGAATTAATAATATTGTCTTTAAAATAAAAAAAATAAAATCTGTAATCGTTTTCAAAAGCGCCAAAAATTTAGTGCCTAATCAAAAATATTTTTTTAATTATTGCTAACCTAATTAATTTAGGAATTGATAAAATATTATAAGCTTTTTTTTTTTGATTTCGATATTAAAGTTGTGAAAAAATGTATTTGCTGTATATACAAATTATTAATTTATTATAATAAATAATTAAAGATAATTACTTATCTACAATCGTTCATTCATTCATTCATTCTTGTTATTTGTGTTAATTAATAAATTATTTTGCATAAAATTTATTTTATTGTTGCAATGACAGAATATTAAGTCTTCGAGCTGGCAAAGATCTCTAAAACTTTTTGAATATATTATTCAGAAGTGATCAGTTCTTATCTTTTAGTCATAAAAACATTATTGTATATTTTAACTTTTTGATGTGACATATCGTCACATCGTCTTCCAACCAAGTTAATACGAATCAGCATTTTAAATATAAACATTAAATTTACAACTATTAAAGGTTATTCTAAAGCTCGTATAATGTTTTTAATCTATACGAGATATAATGTGGATTTCATTAACGTTTTCAAAAATATGAATTTTTATTTGCTGTGTACTTTGATTTGGGGATTTTTTTATGTTTATGCAAAAGTGATATTGATGAAATAAATAAATGTGGTTAACGTCAAAATTGATTCACACGAAGTAAATATAAAGTAAATAAATTTATAGTAAGAGAAGCAAATATTAAATAAGAAAAGAAGTAAAAAACCCTAAACAAATCAAAACAAAAAATGTATCTCAAAAGAGCTGAGAAGAAGAAAAAAGTTTAAACGCATAACAAATACACAAATGAAGCACACAGAGGTTTCTACTATTTTCACTTGAAGTCAACTAAGAAAATATGGGTATAAATAGTAGAACTTGTAATCGATTTGGATGAGTACTTGACGGTATCACAGAGTGTGTGGTTGCTAGCTGAGTTGTATTCGATTTTTGAGTAAAATTATAAACTACGATACTTTAACTAAAATGGCAAAATTTTGGATTGTTGGAGTATTTTGCTTGGCTGCCTTATTGCAGGTGAGTAGCTTTTAAGCCAATAATATGTGTATCAAAACTATATCCTCTTCTTATTACAATCCAGTTAACTATGGCACGAGATGTAGCTGAAGTGATTAATAACGATATACGTGAACATCTAAAAGCATATCAAAAATTCCTTGAAGAGGACGATGGCACACATAAAGCTGATCTCACAAAACTTATTTCACTTACTGAAACCGCTTTAAAGGAAGATGATGTGGATAAGAAACAACTTCTGCTTAAAGACCTCAGTGCACAATTCACACCAGAATTTAATGAATTTTTCTCAAAAAAATTGGAAGAATATACCGTTAATGATAACATCAAGGACTCCATTGAATTCTACAAATCGTTGTCTAGCAGTGCTGAATTCAAAGAAGAAATTACTAAAACGATTGCAACTTTGGAAGCTTTACTAAAAGAAACTGAAAAACAGAAAAAAATTGATGGTTTAATTGCTGTTGAAAAGAACTTCAGTCCAGAATTCCAGAACTTCCTTAAAAATAATGCCCTGCCAACTGTTAACCGCGAATTACAAAAAAATGCGGAATTTTTCGAAAATCTTTTAGTTGAGAACGAGGGTTTATTTACGAATGAAATTAAGGAACTTAAAGCTAAAGCTGAGGCTGCTTTAGGTGACATTAGTGTTGATGAGAAACAAGTGGCTCTGCAACAGATAACCAATCCAACCAACCAAGAATTGTTCCAATACCTGCAAAAGAAATTCATTGAGCTCAACTAAATCTATATAACACTAATCCAACATGCTGTGGATAAGATATTAATAATTTTTTTTAAAATTATGTTAATTTACTGATAAAAATAAATTTTGATATGTTAATTTTATAAATTAGTATGTTTACAGTTTTAACAGTTATAACCCACATCTTGAGTGGTTAAACTTGTTCACATTATGTAAATACAAGTAATATAAAAATGATCCATAGGTGACGTGTCCAAGTTAGCCAAGTTAGCAGAACACAGATGTTCATATACGAGTATAATCATCAATATCTAATGCTAATAAGCATTTAGCGAAGCAATACAAATAATAATAAGGTCATTTGTATGTGCAGTGTGTCTATATTAAGCTGATTATAAATTTAGAACTTTTTAGAGCTGTGTTCTGAATTACTAATACTTTGGAAAGTTTTATCTGAATCTTCAAACACTACATATGATATTTTCAAACAACTTTTGCAAAATTAATTGGCATTTACTATGCTCTCTAAGCAGTCATCATAGTTGAGGGTGTTCTGATGTGTCTTAATAAAAAAATAATAAAAAATCCTTACATTAATTAACTTACTAATGTCATATAGTCAACTTTCGTGGCCACCTATGACTGTAGAATTACATTATGGGTTTAAAGAAGCCGAATGTGGTTAGTGTGGTTAGTCCAGATGTGGTTAGTATTGAGTAGTAATACGAGTAATGTGAATATACTGGAAGTTGAGGGTTGCTTTGAAATAACATTTGTTTTTGATGTTGGTTTTGTGTCCAGGCATTTGTAGTTCCAACATAGACTGGGTAGTATACATTTATCCCATCATATTTACATTTTGATTGGTAAATAACATCTGATTTATCTGCAGTGCCAATTATTGTTTTTATGTTGGAAAACATTGTTTTGTTTGTAATTTTGTTCTGTGTTAAGTTTTATCTTTAGTTACATTAATCCAAATATATGGGGCGCGTAGGTTTATAACTGTCTTCGTTATAAAGTTGATGGTGTTAAAAAATACATAGCGTTGATGGCTTGATTTTATAGTATTTTTTAATATTTTGTACTATAATTTCATTAGTACTTGGCGAGGTTGTTGACTTTTGACATTATTTAAATATTATATTTATGTTTTTAAAAGTTTTATATTTTTTAAATAATTTGTTTAAAGATGTTCCAAATAATTACAGTCTCAACTTCATTAATTATTTATATACATTCTTTACTAAATTATATTTATAAAACGTTCAAGTAATATCTATGAAGTGATTCAATCCGTCATATTTTTTTTTGTTATATTTTTTTATACATTATTATTCACTTTCAGGAATATTTTTTAACAAAATTATTATTTTATTATATCATAAATTATCAAACTGTTTATTGCTCAATAAAAATAATTATTGTGTATACTTGGACATGAAATGATTATCATTAAATTTTTTTTTATATTATACGTTATTTGTTTTAGTATCTGTTTTTATGATCTGTCTTTATAAATGGAAGTAGTAAATTGCTATGGGAATTAAAGACATATCTTATTCGGCTATACGAATAGAATTTGTTAGAGTAAAGCTGTAGGTACAAAAAAGAACGGAGACGTTATTGATATAACGTTTTTATAATTAATTTATTAAGAAGAAATTTTAGTGGTTTCTGATAAAGAGTTTTGCTTTACACTTAGTTTCATATATATCTGGATACTAGCTTGCATAATCCATAATAAGAAATAAAGAGATATAGACGGGATATATATAAAATAAAAACAGTTGCGTTTTCAGTTTAAAATAATTCCACTTATTAAAAATAAATGTCCAAAATTATAATTTAAGTATAGATAAAAATATACAGGATTAGGCAATTAAAATGTTACTAACTACACGCAGGTATATCTGTCAAACTGATATTGTCAAATACGTGAAATTCATACGAATGACAGCTCTTTATATTGTCTACAAAATATCACATTTAGGTAGCCTAAGATCTGAAAATATCCTAGCGAAGCATCTGACGTATATTCCAAAATGAGCTCAAGATGAAACCTTACAAGTTCCAAAAGATACAAAATCTTTTTTACATACCAAAACAACAAGAGTTATACTCGAAAGAGCAAAAGAATTGTTCTCTGATGAGAAAAATTTCCCAATTGAGTACTTCATGAACTCTTAAAATGATCGTGTTTACTTAACTGAACGCACTGTCAAAAATTTGAGGCTACGAATGGCCATTCAATGGAAATAATTTTCCATCTTAAGTACAGGTATGGGCAGCTATAACCGCCGATGGATGCTCCCCAATCGTTTTATCGAGCCTGCTGCCTGATTTCAAAATTAAAGCGAATATTATTGGGAAAATGGAAAATATTTTGGAAGTTGATTTAGAGCCGTAGGCACGAAAACATTTGCATCGTAGATCATGGACGTTCCGATAAGACTTAGCACCGATTTTGTTATCATAAAGCTTCTGTGAACCAAGAATAGTTAAAAATCACGCTCACACAATGGCTTTTGAATTTGTCAGATGCAAATTTGATGGACTATTCTATCTGAGCAATTTTGGTGAGGTGGAGAACAAGGTGAGCACTGAAAAATATGCCAATATAGATGCATTAAAAAGAGCCATTGTTGAGAAATGGGACCAAATACCGGAAGATCACATTTGTGAAGCAAACAACTAATCTTTTAACCGTTTGAAGGCCATAGTCAAGGTGAAAACAAAAGGTGATATCAAGCTAGAGTGAATGGATTCAATACTGTTAAATATGACAACTAATATTATTCATCATCAAATGCAACACAATTAGTTTATCTTTAAATTATTTTAGTACAATTTGACTTTTAGTCAATAGTAAAAAAATCACAAACATTGGTAGTTTATACTTATCTATCTAAATGTTTACTCAACCGATGGTGGTACAAAAAATGGAAGTAATATACATAATCTGTCGAAAAAATTATAATCGACAGATAATATTAATAATATTAAGAATCGAAGAAATTGATACTATAAAAATAAGATCTTTTATCGTATTGTGCCATATACTCTAACGATAACCGAGAAAATTGTAGAGTTTGATTTTAACTTTGTAGATACATGTTAAGAACATCCCTAAAGGCACTTGTAGAGTATGATTTCCATTGTAACTGATTGATGATACCTAATGCTTTACACATGAGTGAAAAAAAAATGTGATTAAATATTATGAAGTTAATAGAAGGATTAATATAAAGAAAATTACGATTTTTAAAAAGAATAATAAAGTCGAGACAATGCTGACCGTTTTCTTCGTCTAAGGGAATTGTTCAGAGTTACTTCGTCTAAGTACGTCAAACAAAGAGCGCAGAATATTGTTTGAAAAATGTACATCACATGGTCCAGAATTCAATGAGATCGGAAGGAATATCGAAACTCAAGCAGTTGGTTTTTGTTGCACGTTATTATACTGTAGCACACAGTCGTCATATCTATCATCTACCGTATTTACTCATTATGGTTTCATGCAGCATTTGGTTATTCTCCAAGTTGAAAAAGTAGATCGATGCGATGTCATCTCTAAGGACAATCTTTGTAAAATTAGATTTTAAAAATATTTTTAGTATTTGGTGAATTTAATTGAAGAGTATTTTGAGTAAACAAGAATAAAAGTTCATAATAATAAACTTTTTAGGAACTATCTTCTTTGGCTCTGGGACAGACTGTCTATGTAGCTTTCCGTCATATCATTCGCAAAAATGTTGACTAACTTAATATACGATATTCACACTATGTGTGTAAAATTATAAGAAAATATTTGTGGATTACATTTATATATTGTAGTTAATGTAATTGCATATATATTTAAATATTTATAATAAAATTGTTTTTATTTCTATTTCGAATTCAATTCACTCTACAGTTTTGGGACATCAACTTAGTTTATTTTATTTATTAACTATGCCTTCATCATAGAATATGTGCTTTTGTTGCCATTTTTAACATATTTTTATTCGAAATAAATTACAAATGTTAAATAGTAAATAAATTAATCAGGGCATTTTATTTTTTAATGAAATTTAAAAAAAATAAAAACAAACAATTTCTTTGTCAGCAAATTGACTCAGTGAGTTTATTGTTATTTTTCTAATTTTTTATTATTTTACTTAGAACTGCAAGTGAACAGACTGAGATCATTTGAATTATTTTTACACATTTATGTTAAATGTTGATGTGTCGTATTAGTTTAATTAATTATGGGATTGTCAATTAGTCATTAAGCCCGTTGTACACAAGTTAATGTGGAACAGTTATTTTATTAAACCTGAACTTTAATTTTGTAATTTTTCAGCTATTCACACTTTTTGTTACAATGGCAAACTCTCGTATTTATAACAATTAATATACAAAAAATAGCAAAATTGTCTTTTTATTCGAAGTCAATTAAATTGTGGCACTTGCAATTAAAATAAATGATTTCCGTGCTCGTGTTAAAATTGTTAAGCTAAATTAAAAACATAAATTAATTTCATTTTATTTTTTTTCAAATATTTATTTTCTACCCAAAGACCTATTAAATAAAATTGAGATATTATTCTCAACATGAATGTAAGCACAGGACGAGGAACTCAGTAGTCCAGTTCCTTATTCTTAATTAAACTTAAAATTAATTTTAATTTTAACATAGAAATAAATAAATAATAATATTAAACAATTATTTGTTCACAATATTATACTAATATTGTCATATAAGCTCCGTTTCAACTTAAATATGTAATTGTGCCTTAAATTAATTTGATATATTCAAAAATCATAGATCATAGGTTCTACTAAGAATATTAAGAACAAATTTTCCACATATTTTTGTCAACATATTTTTTTTTATTTATAAAACCTAGAGTTTTTCGTTACAACAAACAAATCTGTTTTTTGTAGTCGATATAGATCTGTAAGAGCTCAAGCAAGTACGTCCGAAGCAATATTACTTTCTTTCTTAATAATCTTAATAGTCTTTCAGACTAATTGCAGAAATACATTTTTTTAATTATCAATCTAAACGTTATCCTAAAAATAATAACTTAATGTCAGTAGAGTAACTTAATGTCAGTAGACTCGCAAAAGCATGAACGTTATCACAGAATGGTGAAGCAGCACTGGGAGTGTCCGAGAGAATAATAAGTAAGATCTACTTAAGATTTTTAGTTCTCTGCGAGTTAGCGATGATGACCGCATACGAATGAACCACGACCTGTACAAGCTTTATTACGACATTGATATAATTCAGCTATATATATGGAAAGCAACAGTTGGACTAGAAGTAATCTAAAAAGTGCAAAGACATTCGTTAAATATGAAAGTCTTAACACCACATGAAATTGTATCTTCAAGAAATGCAACAAACAAAGACTATATTAAAGCACACCCACCAAATGCATGGCGAATAATATCGACTGCTGCTACAAGCATGGTGACTCAATTTAGAGTCGATATAAAAATTAATCTCATTCAATCAAATAAAAAAGTTATGAGAGGTCGCCTCTCAAGAAATCGGACAGTTACGAACTCGAACGACTTAACTAACGATTTAAGCTAATGCTTACGACGCCTTCTGACATAATTATATGATAGTATTATATGGTAGTTCCAAGAGAGACTTTCCGTCCGGACATAAGGACATGTTTTTAGTGAGTTAAAGTCCCCCATTGATTTAGGCTTTTGTTGCTTTTGAGTCGTCGTTAATAAATAAAAAAAAAAAAGAAAACACCCATCAAATGAACATACTTGCAAGTTAATTCTTCAAACCATAAGCAGTGGTCTTAAAATTGAATACTAAAAATTCATTGGACAAGACCTTATTGCTGGTTAATTATTGAAGCAACTGCCAGAAAGCAAAATAAACTCAATCAATTCTACATTACTAACCATTTTTATTACTTGTCTTAACTTACTTAATTATAAACTTGAACTTATGTGGTTCCTCCCGAAATTCAATGAGGACTTGTAGACAGACTAAACTAATGATGCTGAAACCGTTGACCAGTGAAGCGATAGAAGTGCTTAGCTATCCGCGGAGCATTTTAAGTTGGCTAACCTCACTGATTACTGGACACTGAAACTTTAAGCGTCACCTTAAAAAAGATAACTCTTGTTGAGGAAGACACTAGCAGAAATAGAGATAGCGTTGCATATATTGTGCCAATATTCAGCACTGGCAAGCAGTAGGATGACTATCTTGGGACACCATTGTGTTGGTGATGACTTTTTAGCTAACCTTAAGCTAAATGAGCTGCGTGCAATAACAAGAGATGTAGTTATGCGAACGGAAGTCACTCTAACTTTAACTCAATAACGACATCCAAGAACCGAATGACAAAAAACGACTCAAGTAATTTCGTGGTCTACTTCGGTTAATCTTTCACTTTAGTGGGGCCATTTGCTAGATAGTGCACTGTCCCAACGGCCCATAATATATAGTTAAAACCCTCTTGAGCGTATAATTCTTTTACATAGAATATATAACTTATACTATTATCTTAAATATGTTGTAACGCCTTGTAAATTAATTATAGTTCATGTGTACGTTTTGATTAGCTTATTTGGAGCTCTTAGATTTCAATTATGAAGTTTTAATGAATTGTTCATCTAAACTAAATTCTAAATTGTTTTTTTAACAAATAAACTTAGCAAGTTTTACAAAAACAGATTTAAACAACATGCGTAGTGTTTTGTTTAACTTCAATACGTACCAGTAAGTAAATCTATTGTTCGACAAAACACCTATAAAGTTATTGAATAGATGAACTTGGCTTGAAAATTTAAAAACAGCTTAAAATCAATTCCGACAGCATAATTACTAGCAAAGCCACAGTATTCCATGGATTAGTTGAAACCTACAGCAAGCTTATCTATGTAGGACATGCTTCTCAATTTAGTTTTACGTTCTTTACTATTCAGTTTCAATTTAACTAAAACTCTTTTATCTGGTACTATGAGAATGTGTGATGTTGAAATGCAATTTACGAGCCTTGCCATAGGTGCGCTTAAGGTATTTGACATAAAGTGTTATCTAAAATTGTTGCAATAATAGTTTTAACAACCTTACCTTTAAAAAGCCAGTCTAAAATTTCCATATAAAAGGCAGCTAAGTTTTCGTTGAATATTTACTTGTGAAAAGGCATTCAAGTTAAACAGTGAGGAACTCTAAAGTATGAAGCGCCGTACTAGAATTTCTGCAGTTTGTATTATTTTGATAATAGGAATAACCCATAGCATTCACGTAAGTTTAATTTCTTTAAATTTTTTTGTTGTTTACATTTATTTTCAATTTATAGTTCATTACTGGCAATGCTGTGCCAATATCAAAATTTAGTCCAGATGCTATCATAGAGAATAATCCAAAATTTGGCAATATATTTAACAGTTTATCTGAATCTCAACGGCAGTTACTGTCGGAAAAATTTAACGATTTTTTACAAAATGGCATACATAATCAACCACAAAAATTCCAAGCTTCCTCAAAATCAGTATTGGGATCTCAATTAAGTAATAAAGCACGACAGAATACAGATCCGAATAACACAACACCAGGCAATAGTACACAAAATATTACATTAACTCTACAGGATTTAATAAATTTGCTTGCTGCACGTCCACAAAACGATGATCAATCCTCTGAAGAGGATTATCTTAGTACGCTGCTATCACTTTTGATTGACCAAGCTTAAGATAATGGATTTCATTATTTTAACCAAAAAAAAATCAAATTACTACATTATGTTCGTTGCTTTTAATATTCTTATTATATTATATTATAATAATATAATATTATTATTTTAATAAAGCATTTACTTTATAATGGATATATGAACCAATTCACTTAAAGTTGTAGACACCCTCAACATCACAGTAACTTCAGATTTGATTAAGTTATATATACATACACATATACGTCGTATAATTATCTAGAGTTTCAATATTATTATTGCCTGAGGTCAGGTCGTTAAGTTATTGGCTTACAAGGTTTAAGTGGGTTGCCTGAGGTCTGGTCGTTAAGTTATTGGCTTACAAGGTTTAAGTGGGTTGCCTGAAGTCTGGTCGTTAAGTTATTGGCTTATAAGGTTTAAGTGCAGCCTTAATTGGATAAATAGTTGAACAATGTTAATAAATTTTTTAAAAGGTATTTTTAAAAAAATTTTGAAGGTATTTTTAATATAAGCTTTAATAAAAATATCATATTGTAAATTTGAATCTATTTTTGGAACGGAACAATCTAAAAATATCCTAACTTTTGTTTTTCACAAAGCAATATATATTACATTATCGCAATTTTATTATGTAGCCATTTAGAATTATTAAATGTATATATAAAAACAGTTCAATATAGTATATATCTCTTTCTTCATGTTATCTATAAGAAACTGTTCGACCTGAAATTTTGATTGACACCTTTATTTAGTTCATTAATAATCTTTTAATAAAATAAAATTCATCGGACCATTTTTCATTAAGTAATCTCTTAAATTGTAAAATATAAAAATAATAAATTGAGTCTTGTACACTTAAACTGTGTGCTGAGCATTAGAAATAATTAAAATCAGAAATATTGGACTTCTACAAATTGGAGTACTTAGAAAATAGAACCTGAGGTTTATCTCTTTTAGTTTTTTGCACATCATCGTCATCTTCATAATAATATGTCTAAAGTATATTTAAAACATAAGCTTGTTTTATAACATCCTTCTCTTTTTCTTTGCCTTTTGTTTTTTGCTTTGGCTTTCTGGTTTCTGATATTCGTTTCTCTAAGATCCTGCCGCAGATTGTCACTCATCTTTTTTATAGTCTTTGTATCACTTTCGTTTAGTTGATTGATTTCAGGGTTTTATCAAAACGATATATCCATTTTCTTGCAATGGAACAAGTATTTTTCGCATTATTGTTTTTTCAAATACTTCTAGTTTGTTTACTTTTCTATCTAATAATCTTCAAGTTTCACACCCGTAAGTTGCTATTGGTTACATTATTTTTTTATATAACATTATCTCTTTTTTCACTAATAGTGATCTTCGATGACATACGATTTTTGGTGAAGAACTAGTTATTAGTAAAAACGAAGAATCACTATATTAGTTATTTATTCTTTTGCGACTGCTAACAATAATATATGTTAATACTAGAAACAGGCATATCTCGTTAAATGGACGTAACCTTGCATTTTGGTAAAGAATATAAAAATTTGATTTAGAAGATTTCTGAGGTGTCTTTTACTGCTTTAAAAGCACATAATATTGTTTATTTTAAAAATGTGTAGAAAAAAACATTATAAAAAATGTATTTTTATTACCTTGCACAAAATTTATTAAAAATAATTTAATTATTTATTAAAAACATATGAAAATTTTTTAGGAAATATTGAATAAGAATGCTTGAATTCATTAAACAGTTTAAATTGATTTTTCTAATTTATGATTAAAGTATATAACTCATAACACTAAAAACTAACTAAAACGTTACTAATCCAATAGTTAATAACTAAGTATGTAGTATAATTCAATATTAAATATTATTATTTTAATATTATTTTTATCAAGGCTTAAAGCTGAAACTATTTATATATCATTTAAACCTCTTGACTCCAGATATATCTTCAGGTCTTTAGTTTTTTCGATCAACCATTGTGAATACTTTTTCAGTCTCTCTTTTTCAAGCATGTCCCTTTCCGCAAGCGCCGAACTCACAATGTTATACAACTCCTGCAGTTCTACAGCAAATTTTGGATTTTCATCCAGCAGTAGAATCGCATAAAAATGTCTATATTTACTTAAATTTTTCCACTGACAATTTTCTTCAATCGAAAGTATTTCATTGTCAATTCCATAGCAATCTGGATCTTCAATTAATTTAAAGCCTTGATTAAACTGAAACGACAAAATGAAATTTAATCTAGTTAATTATAATATTATTAACATAATATATATATTTTGTATTCATAAAATAAAAATTTCATAAAATATTTAACTATTAGATTTTGAATTTATTTATCGACCTCTGTTTTTAATAATGGTTATTATATATTTTTTATCCAGCTATAGATCTCTTTTTATTAAAATTAAAATTCAAAGTTTGTTTAGTTTATTTTAATATATTTTATATTTCGACTCTCCTTGAGATTCATCATCAGGATCGGGATGAGTGCAATATAGACAATAGAATCAAGAGCATGTCGTGTAGATATGGATTTTAGTAATATTAATTTATGTTAGATCCCGATCCTTATGATGACTCTCAAGGAGAGTCGAAATATAGAATATATTAAAAAATATTAAACAAACGTTGAATTTCAATTTTAACAAAAAGAGATCTATAGCTGGATAAAAAATATATAAAAACCATTATTAAAATATTAAAATTAAACATGAAGTTAGGTTTCACTAATCCAAACTTCTGAAAAGTATACATGCAGTTGTTCGGTGCGAAAGGACTGCTGATTTATTTTTCAGTCGTACTTTTATTGAATTATACTTCATACGTATTATACTTTCATAAAAATGTACCGACCAGAATGAGTTTTTTTTTTCTTTAAAACTCTAGACCCCCTTTGCTTCCTTTCTTTTGTGTATTCAAGATAATTGCTTAATATGCGCTATACAGTCATGACATTCAAGTCCAGTTTATTAGTAAATATTATTTTCTGGGTCAATCGTGGTTCTTCGTGAATTTTGGATTGGATTTCAGGGGAGCGATACTTACATTATCACGTGAAAATTTTTCAAAATTCATCCTCTACAAAAAAATGTTTATTGTAGAATGATTGAAACCACTTTAACATGGTCACAAGCCGTTGCCATACGTTCTCCATATGCTATGTGATCCTTATTAAATATTTGTAAAGTTTGCCTTTGCAAAGATTGCCTTGTTTCCATTTTGACAGCTTGTTGTCAAATTTATAATTAAATGGACTTAGTTTAATCCATTCGCCTCCATTCAAAAAATTGTTCATAAGAAATGTATAATATTTATATGTAAAATATGATATATTGATATCTGTGTGATCTCATTAACAATATATAAAAATAAAGATTGAAAGCATTAAAAGTAACAACAAATGCGATGATCCACGATTTTTTGACCGCAAACTCACCAGCAAAAGGTGAAACAATACTTTTTTGTTAAGCGAATACCTATGATCCAGGCCATTGTTTGCTAAAGTATAGCCAATGTATGAAGCTAATTTCGAATCGTGGACATAACATGGTAGTTTTGTATAAAAAATGGATGTTACTGAAGTATATTGGAGATGAACAGTTAATATTGCCAAGACGCACTATAGACTTGTTAGTCAATTGAGGTGTCGTCTTCTTTTTCGATATACAATACGGACGATCTATAGTTCGCTAATTCTGCCCATAGACGCTATCACAGACTAGTGTGCTAGCACTATGAGCATTCAAGTGAAAAAATTTTAAGATGTTTGGCCCTCTCCGAGTCGGCGCCGTCGACAACGAGCTGTATGATGTTTATTACGGCATTGACATTGTTTAGGGAATTAACATTTAGCTTCTTCGCTGGCTTGGTCAACTCTTCCGGATAGTTAGCGAAAAATTTTTTAGTGATTATATATAATTTATTGTAAAATTAAAATTTAATTTGAATATATTAAATGTTATTAAATATTTGTAATATATATAATTCTATTATACACATATTTCATGCTTTTTACATGTTTTCAATATATTATGAGAAATCTCTTGAGATTCCGAGAAATGCTGACAAATTGTGAAAAATTGTCTATAGATATTTTTAGAAAATGCTGTTTTATTTTAATATTATTTATATATTTTTTTTTTCTTAAGTTATTTTTTTCGTAATTTAATAACTAACATATTTGAAAGATATATTGAAACTAACTAGGAATTGTGATTAAATTTTCGTCAATCCACTTATATAGTCAACGTTTGATATAAGATAAAAATTATATATTTTTTAATATGTTATGCACACTTACATCTTGTAATAATAATGCACTCAAAATAAAGATTTTCCATTTAATCGTCATTTTGTTATATGAAAGATTTATATATGATTTAAGAGACAGAATTATCTGAGCTCGCTCGTAGTCGTGCTGAAACTGATTCAGATTTAACTTTTGAAATATGTGTTATCGTTTCTTTATTGATTGAATATTACTATATAAAAATTATTTTTATTGGTGTTTACTTAGTAGTCTATTCTCACAATGGAAAATATTGCGTACATTTTTTATTATATAGTCCTGACCGAAGTATTGGAGCGCTACATTGATTATAAATAACATGCAACAAAAAAAGAGCTCGTTGCTTATCGATAAATCTATATAATATTGTAAATTAAAAATTTCTCCTAGTAAAGTTAAGCCATTGGATCTCTCTTAGCCACGGCTCCGAATCGTTGCACAAAGAGTCCATCGGTCTACGCATGTAACATTGTACAAGGCAGTTCAATATAACCTACCATACTATATTGTTTATACATATCTTCCAACATAAAGTTTAGTTATATTACTGTGTTTATGTTCGAAAAAATAAATCAGAAATCATGACGAATAAATTTTTATCTAAGATTTAATATATATGTTTATGTTTTTAATATAAAAATTTATTTTATTGTATATAAGAAAAAAGTTTGTGCACAAGAAATATAAACAAAATCTTATCTGACAATCGAAAGGTCTTTCATTTGGTCTTCTGAAAGATCCTAAACAGCTTTCAGTCTTACACAAGACCGCTGCCAGAATACGAAAGATCTTTTAAACGATTTTTCGCAAGATTTTTGAGTGTGGTGAGTTCAAAGATCGTTACCAGAATTGCCCTGTTAATATAACTACACTAAAACCTTTCTAAGGCATTAACAATATCGACTGATTTTATACAAAAATTTTTAAATTTTTGTAAAATAAGAAAAAAATAAAATTTATAGTAGAACGCAGTTTAAAAGCAAAACTCTTATCAGTAAATAAGCAAGATTTATATATTATGCACTTAAAAAAATTTAACTTTAATACAGATCATAGTGCAAAATAATACAAATAATATGTACATACATATGTGCATCTTATAAATTTTAATGAAACATAAAGACTTTACATCATTTGAACAATTATTGCATAAATGCATTGCTGTTGCAATCATTTTCAAGCATTTTGTATGACAGAATCACCGAGAATTTAATTCTTTTTGCAATACCAAATATTATTAGTTTTCTATAACTGAAATTATTTCAAAACTGATTCTTCAATTTCACAAATCTATTTCTACAAAAATGTGAAAATATCGGAATCCATCTCAATGTATAGAGTTCTCAGGTTTGCAGTCTTCAATAATCTTTAATCGATCCTGAGTTTAGAGTTTAACTAAGCTCAAGCACAACTTTTACTTTAAACATCCATATGTTTATGACTGTAATTAGGAACTGATACAGTGGGAGAGGGGAATTACTTTACTCCCCCCAGGAGGAAAAATATTTGCACAGAAAAACAGTAGGTATATTCTTTTCACATGAATGCTCCAATAAAACACTTGTTGTTTAAAAATTATCATACAAAACCTAAACAAAACTCGCTTAAATAAGCCCACTTTCCTGAAAGTGCTTAATGAACAAGCCTTTCGCACTACTATTAAGCCAAAGAACTTTTTTATAAAACTTAACCCCAAATTTGTACAAAAATTTGTTGCTTGTCATATGTTTACTGGTTTAGGCAGTGATGCCAAATTATACTTAAGCACTAAAAGTTGTTCTATTGGAGCATTTATGTCAAAAGAACACACGTAATATAAGTATAACAAATGTCACATACACATTCCCACACATCTTCGTCATTAGTTCATCATACTTTCGTGGGGGATGTTATCACAAAGGCCATCTTCAGATTTTAAAATATAGTTCCGGCAACATTTTTAAAAAGGGGAGAGGGCGATGTTGGTTAACAACAAATATGTTTACCTATAAATATAAGCAATTTTGTGTTTTAATACGAGTCTATAAAGGTTTCAGTTTTCTTTTTCATATAATGTGGTTCATGTATTAAAGAAAGTGGGCTGTGATGTCTTTACTATTCTGAACTCAGGGTCACACTTCTCCCGCCAGAATATTCTTCACAATTTTGGTAATAATACTGTATACTTTTTAAATTTTATTTAGTTAATGAGTAAAAATCATTTTTTGTTCAGTATATATTTTTTAGACATTCGGAAAAATGTATCTTCTTTTGTTACCACTCTTTCATTGCTAACAGTGCATATCAAATAATTTATTGAAGTTATTCTTATTTATTAAAGTGGTTCAATTATAGTAGTATATAAATATAATGATTAAATAATAATAACAAAGTCTTATTAATTGTCAGTGGCTCTTCCTTGCGCTGGTCTTTCAGACCACCAATACCGTTTTATGTACCGTTGTTTATCTCATCGAAAATATTGTGCTGTAGCACCGCAATATAGTATCGTGCAGGTCACTAACCTTATACCATTTTAATGCTACATATTATTTATTATTTATGCTACATAACAACACTTTTTTAATTTGTGCAATGAAAAAATGTATATATATCATTTGACTTGCAGGTGATATATTCAGATATGTTAATATAGTAATTGTCAAAGAAAGAAAGTAATTACCGAAAATTTGATTAAAAGAATTTGAAAAGTTTTAAATATAACTTATAGGTATAATATAATTCTATTTATGTTAAAAATTCAATAAAACAGTTGCTGTGGTTTCTTAATTCCAAGTTTATTATAATCAACTTTTAGTTAGTTAGTTTGTTTCAACACACGTTTTAGAGGTCTTTTCAATCAATTGTTAGATTTGTTCTAGTATTTTAGTATATTCTTGTAATTATCCAATGCATGGTATTTCTTCTGCCGAAATGATTTATCTAACACTTATGTACCCTTGATTGAGTTACCTAAAGAGGGCAACAAACCGTTTTCTTCCCAACAATTTTTTCTAGTTTACAAATATTACTGAGACATTCTGATTTAACTGCTATTAATCACCACTGATTGTTGCTTTAATAGATTATTGTTATCGATTTCAATTACATCGCATTTATTTCAAAAATTCGACTACATCACCTTTTGCCTATATTTCACAGTCTTCCCTGTACACTTTCTTTGAATCTGGTTCACATACTCCATCAATTCAACGGAATCTTTATGTGTGGTGTGTGGTAAAGAATCCATCTTTGAACTGCAATAATAAATAGAAGCAGAAAGTCTAATAATATTTGTAGATATTTTGCTGAAAAAACTCCAAATATAATCTAAAATCTTCAAGCGATCAAAGATTGTCTATAGTAAGCAAAATTTTGTGAAAAATAAAATTATTGCTACATAGAATGCTTATCGTTTCAATATGCCCGCGTATTTCCATACTGTCGTTTAACAAAATAATGTCTTCGACGATTTATGTCTTTACTACCTTTATTCGACATCCAAAATGATGTTAATCGTTTCTGTTTTTATGGATATAATTACCTGATTATAAACACTCGAGAACACTGATACTATGAACATTATCTCATATGGACTTGGTTTCTTTTGGTGTCCAATCTTCCATATCTCAATGCTTAATCATTGTATCAGATCATTTAATAGATAATTGTTTCATTTTCAGCAGAAAATATTGAATATTACCCCATGGGCCCATACAGACTATATAGTTTAATTACTAACATTTTTCGTTTTGCGAATATAAAATGTTGTCACATTACCTTTATGTCAAGCTGCTTACGAGGGTTACTATTAATATTTTGAGCATTGGTAATATTTATTGTTATCAGGTGTTATTTGACGTTTCCAGACGAAAGTTTGACATTATTAAACATAACCTATACCTTAGACTTTTTGTCAGAAGAGCGTTACGAGTATTTGTGTTATTTGCAGTAATTTGTAAATTGAGTGTTCGTAAAAAAATGGAATTAACGCGAGAAAATTTTTGTGCAATAATTTATTACGACTTTAGATGTAAATTGTCAAGACAAGAGTATATGGATCTTATGCTCCATTCTCCATTCTTTGCCTCTTTGAAATACTGGTACAACGATTCTAAACGTGATTTTCCAAAATTACAAAACATCGATGCTGCGCAAAAACTGAAACTCGTAATGCAAGATCGTCATGCGACATACTGTGAGATTAAGGTTGAGGTGGAACTCTAGGTGTTATAACAGATATAATTTTAGTCCCGAAACTATAGTAAAGTAATCACGTTTACACACCATAACTAATTCTTATTATATTTTGATAGATTTTAATTTAATTGATGGCACAAAACAAATAAAGCTAAAATATATAATAGGTATGTGGTATTCAATAAAAAACCACCCTTCATATCTCGTATGGGTTAGTTACTTCTAATTATTTCACTTTAAAATAGTGGAATTAGTATAATAATAAAAGAATTGATAGTCTTCCGAATTACTAGATTTCCGTGAAAGTAAAATCTGTCGATTATCTTAGTTTTCCATTTACTTTTCCGGAGTCTTATTCGATGATATATAAAAGAATGTCTTTGGCATTGTAGAAGTTGAACTCAGTGGACTTGCACTAAGTGAATCAAAAGTGACGACTTCAATAGCTACATCTGGATTAGATAGCTGATGTAACTGAATATCCTTTACATTATTGTGAATGAAAAGTACTGAAAGGTACTGTGAGTTTAAGAAGATGTCTAATTCCATATTAAATATATGAATATATTATTAGTTAGCCCAACACGATGAATCGACATAACAATATGCATATGTCCACAGTTTGGTATAAATGGAATTAATTAACTTTGTCGTTGAAATAAGCTTTCAGATATAAGCTTATATTTACAAATATATAAGAACTTAAGATCAATCCTTATAATGTAAATTCGAAAGTATTGCTGCAAAAAAATATTAATAAGTAAAAAGATTTTATCTAAGTGATAAGTACGAATATTTTATTTTCGGATAAACCAAATTTATTTTTTTTTTATGTTAAAATACTTTATTGTTAAAATAAATTTTATTTCCAATGTACTTTCTTAGTATTTAATATATACAAATAAGTTAATGTATTTCTTTTATTTATAAGAACAAACTCTTATCGTTTAATTAAGCAAGTAATGAATGTTGCTCCGTCTAATTGCATTCTTCTCTTCGAAAGTACTTATAAATTGAATTACAATAATATATATTTAAAAATAAATTATGTATTAATAGCACATAATATTGCTATTTTTAGGTCATTAGTTTGAAAAATCTATTTTAGTAAAGACTATGATTATTATAAAAATCAATAAGGAGGCGCATTCTATCTTTATCTTTATTCTCATTAAGTGACTTAATTATCAGTTTGTTGAGTCATTTTGTTTTGATTATAAGAATACTTACACTTATATATGAGAATATGTATGAAAGAATTAACTATAAACAGTCAATTTATTCTTTATATGGTTAGGTTAGGTTATACCGGCGATACAAGGGGGATCCACTTAGGCCTATAGGCACATTGTGACACCTAATTATTTAGAACCCATGGGCTAAAACCATCCAAAACCTTTAATAAAGCTTATGATATTCTTTATATATATAACAATATAATTTCTTGTACGTTTTTCAATTTTATAAATATTTTATTAAATAAATAAAAAAAAATTTTTTAGAAGTAAGAACCAACCTAATTAAAAACTCACCACTTCTTTTAAATTATTTAACCGTTGTTCCATAATATTACCCGTAATATCAAGTGAAGTCATTAGGAAAAAAAATTTAAAAACCAATAGCTCAATAGGCCAACGTCAAAGAAAATGATTTCTAATTCTGCCAAGTGGAATATCGAAAAAATACTTGCGCTAAGTATCTTAGGTTAGACTTAAGTGCTGAATCTGGTTACCTTACAGGACATTGCTAACCATGGTATCACTTAAATAAGTTGTAGCTTTCCGAAACTTCTGCATGTCATTTTTATGAAATAGACATCGAAAGCTTAGAGCATATTCCTTATGAATGTCTAACTTTTACTGACAAAGACCTCACCACTTATGTGGTATTAATACGCCTTCACTTTATTTATGGAACAGCAACCCTTAAGTTTTGCCAAAAACTTATAAAAAGCTTGAACAAACAGGGTTAACGAGGTAAAGATAGACACAATACTATTAACAGTAATGATAATAATAAGTTAATGATTTGTGTTGCAAATCAAGGCTCTAAGTTTTTTGGCGTGAACTTCCTAGCAGAAAACTCTTCCTCTTATATCTCGCATATTGTATAATCTATGCATATTTGCTTTCTTTATGCATAAAGCTTAAAATTGAACTCAGATTTAAAAACGCAGGTATGTTATATCGAGACTCTAAGTTTCTTGGCGTGAACTTCCTAGCAGACAACTCTTCCTCTTATATCTCGCATATTGTATAATCTATGCATATTTGCTTTCTTTATGCATAAAGCTTAAAATTGATCTCAGATTTAAAAACGCAGGTATGTTATATCAAGACTCTAAGTTTCTTGGCGTGAACTTCCTAGCAGACAACTCTTCCTCTTTTATCTCGCATATTGTATAATCTATGCATATTTGCTTTCTTTATGCATAAAGCTTAAAATTGATCTCAGATTTAAAAACGCAGGTATGTTATATCAAGACTCTAAGTTTCTTGGCGTGAACTTCCTAGCAGACAACTCTTCCTCTTTTATCTCTCATATTGTATAATCTATGCACATTTGCTTTCTTTATGCATAAAGCTTAAAATTGATCTCAGATTTAAAAACGCAGGTATGTTATACCGAGACTCTAAGTTTTTTGACGTGAACTTCCTAGCAGACAACTCTTCCTCTTTTATCTCTCATATTGTATAATCTATGCACATTTGCTTTCTTGAAGCATAAATATCTGAAAACTCTTTTTAATTATTTGCAAATTGTTGAACATTAAAATTTGTGTCGCTCTCGTACAGCAAATAGGCATACACAAGCTTCTAACCAATTACACTTGACATTCTGCTAAATACGAAACTATGCCAAAAATTAAATGAAAGCCTATTAAAAAACGCACGATTTTATAATTAAAAATTTCGAATAGCAGTGAAGACAAATTTTAGTAAAAATGGCAAAAAGTAATAATAAATCAAGCAAAAATGAGACTGAACGCTAACCATCAGACCAGCAGACCAACAGACATATTGGCATAGTATGAAGTTCCAGCCTATTTGACTTGTACACCATTGGTGTCCACAGAGGCAGCTAATCATTAAAATTGGCGTTTAGTAGTGACACTTAAAATAATTCGCATAATCATGGCGCCGCTTGATTACATTTTCTCTGGCATATAATTTTATGAAGGCATATTTGCATGCACATGTCATCATGATGAATCAATTCTCCATTTAGGCATATGCTATGCCACAACTATGAATCGCAGTTCTGCAAAGGCAGCAGCGGCAAACATGCGAGCATTTTCTAATGGAAATAGTTTAGGAGTTTCTAGTTCTGTGTCACATACGCCAGGGTTCATCATATGCCAATATACAAGTTTATTTTATTTATTAAAATTTGTCACATTAGAGTTATTCACTTATTCACTTAACAACTTGTGTCAATTTTAGAAGGTCAGACGTTTTTAGTTCGATTTCAAAATTAGAATAAATACTATTAATATTTTCTATCTTTGACTTTTTACAGAAACACAGCCACTGGTAGGCGTTATTTGAGTAACCAATGCATTGGCGTCTACAAACGTTATCATCTCTGCAACAATGAGGTATATACTTTTACATTTTTCAGAAACCTAAAGATTATTTTTAACACTTTTTTATTCTTTTCTAGCCTTGTCCGTTACCCCAGAAAGACTTTCGAGCTGAGCAATGTACAGCTTATAATGAACTCGCTTTTCAAGGTCAGAAATATACCTGGGAACCGTATCTAAAAGGTAATAAGAAAAAAAACCAAAAGCTAGAAAATGATCTATTTATAACAATTGATTCTTTTATATTATACAGTTTGGTTCAAAAGTTTTGAAAGTAAAAATGAAAAACTGTGCATTTTTTTAAAAAATTAGTATGTTCCTGTTTCAGTTCAAGATCATGGTAGTAGTTCCAGGTCTCATCCATAATTATAAAACGACGAAAAAATCGGTTTTATTCTGTTACATTTTTGAATTGTCAACGAATGAGGCACTAACTTTCCGAATACCTTCTTCATACGTAATTCTTCTTTTAAATATAGACTACATGTTCGTTCGAAATGTCTATGGTATCAGAAATTTCACGCTTAGTCAAACTTTGAGCTCTGCAAACAATGTCACAGACTTTCTTAATGATTGCTAATGTTGTTGCACTTTTGGGACGTTCACTACGTGGTTCATCACCAACGCTTATAAGCCCACGTTTACACTCTCAACGATGCTCAGCTGAAAATGAAGGAGCAGATTGTTTTAACACATTCACCATTTTTGTATGAATTTCTGTGGCTGATAAACCTTCTAAAACAATGAATTTTATCATTGTGCGATATTCGGTTTTTCCCATATCCCCTTATACATTAATATTAGCTTTTTGTGTGCGTTTTTTGATTGAAAAGTATCTTCAATCTGAAAGAAAGGCTTTCGTGATAAAATCAAGAAATAGGATGTGAAAAATATTTTGCATAAGAAATTAATTAGGAAAGAAATTTTCGTTAATTGTATATTAAAAAGTATGTAAATTCAAATTAAAATATTTAATTAAAATTTAATAGGTAGAAGAATTAAATATGTTTTAAGTAAAGTAATAAAATAGAAAAAATCAGACTTTTTTACGAGTAATTTTGTTAATACTCGTAACTATAGTTCATCAGTCTCTGTTGGAAATATTTATTTGATTTTAATTTGAGATCAATTATATATGCATTCAGAAATATTTAAAAATTTATCTTTTCTGATTTGAATTTGTTCATCTGCAGACGATGCTGAATGCGAGTTAAACTGCAAACCATTGGGCATGAAATACTTCGCCACATTGAACGCAACTGTTATCGATGGAACTCCATGTTTTCGGCCGGCGGAATTTTATCGCTCAAACTATCGTGACCGGGCTATGTGCATCGGCGGCATTTGCAAGGTAAATGAAACTACTTTTCTCAATTAAATATTTTTTTTAAGTTTCTTATGTACGAGTAATTGTAAGTAAATGAAGAAATAATTCACTTACTTTTTATATGTGAATTTATCAATAAATTTTGAAACTTTGCTTGACTACAAGTAGTTCAATTCAAATATCTTCTTAAATTACGTATTAATTGCTGTAATCAAATTTTACTAAAGAATTAAATATCAAATAATCATGTTATATGATTTGAAATCAAAAATAATAGTAATTCTTCAAGGTATTAACAAAACTTTATTTTGGTGACAAAAATATTCGTAATACTTGGTACAATATATTTCGATGGATGCATATTACAAAAGCTTACTCAGACCCGGAATATTCACCAACAACTTGGTGCAATATATTTCGATGGATGTATGTTACAAGAGTCTACTCACACCCGGAATATTGACCGAAAACTTGGTACAATATATTTCCATGGATGCATTGTACAAAAGTCTCAGACCCGGAATATTGATCGAAAACTTGGTACAATATATATCAATGGATATATATTACAAGAGTCTAATCAAACCGGAAATATTGACCGCAAACTTTATACAATATATTTCTATGGATGTATATTACAAGAGTTTACTTAGACCGGAATTATGTTATGACAAATGGAAAATTCACATAGTGAGCACATTAGTCATTACAGATTATTGTTGAGTAGTTAGACCCCTGTAGTGGAGTACTCATTGAATATAGCTATCAATATGAGCGTACAAAACAGATTTCTCTAGACAAAGGATTAATACTATAGCATCTTTCTACTTTGAAAAACTGAAAGATATACATAAAGCTGACGAAATAAAATTACATAGATTTATTATTAAAATTCAATGGCTGTTTGCGAATATGAGTTATATATATGGTACCTAAATTAAAATTGGAATAAAATTTAAACTGCCAACAATAAAAAACATAATTTATATTACGGAAGAGTATTATAAGTAAAAAACACTGCTTTTAAATATTTCAGTATTAGCTGATCATTTCCATCATTCATGATCACACCGCCCTAACAAAATTAAAGTTTCTTCTAGTAACTTCTTCTAGACAATACAGTCAGTATACAGTTAGTGGTGGTTCCCTAACATCTCTAATATTCAGATTATATTTATATTTTGCATTATAAATTCAAACGTTTTTGTGGTTCTCTTCCCTTCTTATCTCCGATAATATGTGTCTTTATTATATTTTTGCATTCTACAGACATGACCTGATGATAAATATGACGTATAGCCACAATTTTATTAATATTTTCACCATAGGTTCTTTAGCAAAATGACATCCATAGTTTCTACTCTGGGCGGATACCCATCCACTCTTCTTTTCTCACATGAACATGAACATCTAATATCATTTTTAGTAGGCTTTCACGCATAAAACGTTTTAATCTATTACACATGTAGCTGGCGAAAATACTTTTCGGCTTCATCACTTATAGATTGAAAAGTGGAGGTGTACTTCTTTTACTATTGTATCAGATATATTATATGTCTCTTAAAATATGCTGATATGTATCATCGCAAGTAAAGAAATAGAACAAAACAGCTTTCTACCACGAATTATAAATGATAAGAAATTTTTTGAAAGACTTTTGTGCCAGAATTGCTAAAATCTTACAAATGGTTTTATGGTCGATCTTATAAAGATCTTACTTAAGATTTTTAATTTTAATTTTTATTATAAAATGAGACATAGCAGTTGCTGTTGACATTTCGGTGATTGTTTTAATACTGACGAGTGAAAAATGTTTGCCAAAATTATAATGACTGTATTGATGTGTAATAGCATGCGACGACAAAGAAATCTGACAAACATATCTCATGTGTAATACGTGCTTAAAATCTTGTAAATCGTCTTATGTTCGAAGACCTGTTAGTGTAATTGTCGTATTAACAATGGTTTTTTCGAGAGTAAACCAATTCATATATTCGAAATATTCGTGAGGAAATTCGAAAATTATTGTATTTGGAATATTTTTTCTCGCAGAAGTTTCTCGAAGTAACTGTCTCTTCCTCGTTATGGTTCGGCAGATTTCGGCAGTTTTCCGATAGTTTTTGGGTAAAGAAAAGTAGTATAGTAAATCGATGGAATATTTTGTATTACGCGGAGTTTTCGAGTTCTGTTGTTAATGTAGTTTTTCTCTGCAAGACTCGCACTAATAAAACAAATTTCGTTCCTTCCTACACGATCTATTTTCAAACTCTTTGAACGCTTTTCACTAAAGTGAGGTAACCTCTGCGCACAGTCGCTACTGTGCGTTAGTTGAATACATAAATTATGTTGCATACTTATAGGCAGCACTATATTCATATTTTACATACAAGCGTTCTTTTGCTTTACTGTTATTAGCATTTATGTTAAACAGCAGAATGGCTGTAACAGACTCTATTAGACACTGAAATTATGTTTATTGTTAATACATTTATAATGTAAACCTTACACTTAACAATTTTTTTGTTAAAATTTGTTTTCGCAGTCGATTGTGCGATTTCTGGAATTCATAAAAAAAACTTGCCGAAAAATAATGTCTTCACACTTGCAGAAATCTATAAAAAAATGTAAAGCAAATGTTAAAAAAAGTTTAAAAAATGTAAAATTGGTGTAAGTGGCTTTGTGGCTTTGATCTTAAATGGTTTAAAATGCATTTTCGCATCGAAGTTCAATACGCCAGTCTTTTAAGTGCAAAAATAGACATAATGAATCAACAAGTTTTTAGGAACTCAACCGATTGTATTTCTTTAGCCTTTCAGGAAACAAAATATTCAAAATTTTCTGTTACAGTTGCTGTGATAAATTCGACGTTAACTTAATTATAATGTATTTAAAAATAGTGTATTACATTTCAAATATATATAGTCAAAATATGTCTATATTGTGTGACACTGTTACGATTAATACAATAAAAAAAAACATAGTTTGATATTACGCCGTATAGTGAGCAATTTACATAATATTTTCGTATCATATTTTTTTATATTATATTTACTATATAAACAAATTAATAATAAATATTGTTTATAGTAAGGCAATTTTGATTCAAATCAAATAAACCTGCCCCACGGACTTTGATATCACAATATGCCTATCTACTTCTAGAAGTTGAGAGAGCTGCGTTGTTTGTCTCTAGTATTTATGACACATCTTTCATAAGGCGAAAACATGATAAGAAACGCAATATATATATACATAATACTAAAAAAATCTTCAGCACTAACTGTATTAAGGTTCTAGGTGGTTTTATACCCTGAATTATTTCTATACGTACGGCAACACAATAGGCCTAAGTGGATCTCCTACAGATCGCCGGTATAACCTTACGTAACTAAACTAATTGCATTAATCGACTAGAAAGAGACCGAATCTTTTTAACTTCAAATTGACTATTTTCTAATTAGGCTCTGTTCAGTATGACTGTACGGTACTTTGTGCAGAAACTTAGCATCTGACAGTCCAAATTTTATAAAACTCTTTCAGATTTCATCCTTCGATTTCTCTTATCCAACCGTTAAAAAAAATGCGCTATTTTAGAAGTTCGATTTAGAGTCGCACTAATTTTAGCAGCACTTTTTGTCAATTGGTTTTATTTGCTCCACAATATGTGCACTAAAAACCTTTAAAGTTCTTAAGATTTGGACTGTATATTGTACCGTTGAAATGTCTACAGATTCATATGATAGAAATGGTCTGACTAATAGAGTTTTACGTATAGGTATTCTGGATAAGCTGATTATACACCTTTATTTTTGCAGATAGCTCCGAAATGACTAACAGAATAGAAGTCGTGTCTGTTTACGTCTCATGGTAAGCATTTATGTTGTAACACCACTCCTCTTTTAAAAGGGGTACTAAACCATTTTTCCTTTAGTAAAACGTGGAGTAAAGCAGTTCATGTTATGTGCACTTATTTTATCTATTAAGCTATAATTAAAAATTATGCGAATATCTGTTGTCAAATTTATCTGTCGGTAATGGGCGATAGTTAGGGTGCTATTTTTAAAATATTGATTGGAGTAGTCTCTAACTCTGCCTGCATTATACTTAAATACGAACAAATTTACTGATTTTTGAATGTGTTTCTTATATGAAAGGGATATACAAGAAAGGTTTGTTTCAGATCCGATGAGACTGATTTTATAATCATTTAAGAGTTTATTTAGTAATCACCAATTTGAGCAACCTTGCTTGCTCTTTCGATGAGACCTGACGTTCAATATAAAGACTTTTTATATGTTTTTTTTAAATAAAGTTAGTGTTAACAATTTATTTTATTGAAAAGGAATTATTGACATTGACTTTGTTTGAGAGAAGCTCAGAAAAAGTGCTGCCAAAAATTATCTGAATATTTTATAGTGATTGTAGGCCAAAGATCGTCAAGAATGTCGAGCGCCAAATATTGGTTTCTGTTACATATATATACACAATTACACAAATCCATGATGACTATATAGATTCTTGATCAATATAACCTATAACTGTATACGAATACTGGTTACTTTCCAAACTTCGATGAAAGATTCACCTATTGGTGGTAGAAGTAGATCTTGTCGATACCAGCCCGGTCATTCAAGGTCTCCGACCAACATTCTAAAGACAATTCCTTTCGATGAGTATTAAATATATTAACAAAAGTTTGTTGAATATTTTCAGCCTTGTGTTGATTCGGAAGAAGAATATTTTAATTAAAGACGAAAAGAAAATCAGAATAATAAAAGCTTTATATTTTTATACATAAGTATCATATATACTTATACAAGTAAGTATATCATATATACAAGTAAATATGTAGAAAGTATCTAATAAGACAAAATATCTTAGAAGTCCTCAAACATCGTGACAGAGAAAAATTCTTAGTGAGACTGGCAAATCGATTAACGGACTATGTTAATTAGTATATGACAGATCAAACTGAAAATTATTCGCTGAAGTAGTGGATTTCTAAAACGAATGGAATAAAACTA